CAATTTTAATTGTATTTTAATTATTTTATCTTTTACTGTATTGAATTTTAATTATTGTAAGCCGCCCAGAGACCTCTGGGTAGTGTGGGCGGCATATAAATTGAATAAATAAATAAATAAATTTGTAGCTGTGGGATCAGGTTTTGTTCTTTTCAGGAAATTGGGTGATTATTGTGATCAGGGTGTTTTTTTGTTTTGGGTGCATTGTTGTGTTACAGGGGGACATGATCTGTCACTGTGATTGATGAGTGTCGTTAGCTAGTCTTTTGTGTGCAGTGATCACCAGTCCTTGTGGCTGGGTAGAGTTCATTGACCTTTTGCAGGCTGTATTTTTCAGTTCTGGGAAACAGGTCTTGTTAAGTTTTAGACTTTCTTCTTTTTTGTTGAAGCTGTGCTGGTGTTTGTGGATTTCAGTGGCTTCCCTGTGTAGCATAATGATTGCTAGTGTTGTCCAGTACTTCAGTATTTTGAAATAGAATTTCATGTCCAGCTTGTTTCAGGGCATGTTCAGCTACTGCTAATTTTTTCAGTTGTTTTAGTCTGCAGTGTCTTTCATATTCTTTGATTCTGGTATGAATACTGCGTTTTTGTTGTATTTTTGTGGTGGGCCCGAATACTGTTTGTAGGTTGTGTTTTTTCAACAGTTTCCCCATGTGGTCCGTGACCCCTTTGATGTATGGCAGAAATACTTTATTTGTGGGTGGCTGTTTTTCTTCTTCAGTTCGGTGTTGTTTTCTTGGGTTGATGACTCTTGTGATTTCATTCTTGGAATAGCCATTTGCCTGTAGGGCCCAATTCAGATGGTTGGGTTTAGTGCTGAGAAATTGAGCTTCACAGTTCCGATTTGCACGCTCTACCAGTATTTTGACTATCTCAACCATCTGAATTACAGAGATGGTAAGAAAAACATCAGTATTACAGTGGGGTCTTGACTTGAGAACTTAATCCGTATTGGAAGGCGGTTCTCAAGTCAAAAAGTCTAAGTCAAGTCTCCATTGACCTACAGTGCATTGAAAACTGATTAATCCCGTAACAGGCCGTTTTTGTTCCATTTTGTTTTTTTTCTGGTCTGTAAGTCAAATCTCAGTCTGCTAGTCATACCTAAATTTTGCAGCCAGAGAAGTCTGTAACTCAAAAAGTCTGTAAGTCAAGACGTCTGTAAGTCAAGGGTCCACTGTATCAGTTTTGCAAATCAGTTCCTAAAACTTATAAATTTTATTATTCCCTAAGCAGTTCTGTTATTTTATACCATATATCATCTATATATAGTTCTTGTCATTCTACCACCAAAAAAATAAAAAATAAAAATATTACAAATCTTGAAAATATGCAGAGAAAGGCACCAACAGTGATTGGATGTTGGACCATCTTCCCTAAGAAGGAGGGGTAAAACGTATGAGCTTTTTAGTTTACAAAAAAAGATGATTAAAGGAGAAGCAGGTTAGGAGTTATGAAATTATATGTCATACGTAGAAAGTGAGCAGAGATGTCTGTTTCCTTTATAAAAATAGTATTTGAGTCCTGCAGTAAAACAGAGGAACAGTAAATTCAGGCAAAAAATATTTATGGAATTCTCATGGAGGATTTGGTTATGATTGTTAGCTTAGATAACCGAGGGGCTCCATGAATGCCCCTTGAATTCCATGGTGAAACAAGGGCAGGATAGAAATGTGCTAAAACAGTGACAATAAAAGCAATTGCACATGAGGTCTTAATAAAACCAGAAAAATAGCATCACTGTGACCCAACAGTGATAGTTAATGTGCATGGATTCATGCCTGTCAGGCCCCAGTATCTACAATTCATTTTCTTTGTTGCCCATATAATTGTAAATTGGAAAGAATACTTTACACACTTGATGCAGGCTGTCTCTGATCTATAGAACTTTATTCTAATTTACATTTGTCAGAAGGTATAGTTCAACAGGAGAAAGGTTGTTTTTAAAAGATCAGATGAATTCTAATTAGATGATAGGTCTCTTGGTAGGCATTACCTGAGCATGGATGAGTGAGAAATTTGTTCAATTCATGTTTCAGTGTGAACTTCTGAAAACTGCAGTTCCAAAATCTAAATAATTCTGGAGACCTGAAAAATATATTTTTCTGTGGTTTGCACTGTGGTTATCTCATACACAAAACATACTGGAAATGATATACAGTTGTGCCTCGGAAGACGAGTGCTTCATTTAACGAAGAAATCGCATAATGAAGAAGGTTTTGCGATCGCAAAAGCGATCGCAAAATGATGTTTCCTATTGGGTTTTTCCGCTTTGTGATGATCGGTTACCTGCTTCACTAACCGATTACCGCAAACCGAAGATTTTCGCACAGCTGATCGGCGGTTTCAAAATGGCCACTGGGTAAAAAAATGGCCGCCGGCTGTTTTCTGGGACGGATTTCTCACTGCACAGGCAGCGAAAATGGCCGTGCTATGGAGGATCTTCGCTGGACAGTGAGTTTCAAGCCCATAGGAACGCATTAATCGGGTTTTTATGCGTTTCTATGGGCTTTTAAAAATCGCTTTACAATGTTTTCGTTCTACAGCGATTTCGCTGGAACGAATTAACATTGTAATGTGAGGCACCACTGTAACACTCCACCCCATCCCGAAAAAATAAGTATACACTAAAATCCAGAACACTGTATATAATATATGCATTTATTTTGAAAAATGTGCATAAAATACACTGATGTGTTATGTAGAAGAAAAGTGCATATACAGTGGTGCCTCGTTTAACGAGCGCACCGTTTAATGACGAATCTGCATAGCGACGTAGTTTTTGCGATTGCTAATGCGATCGCATTGCGATGTTCTGAATAGGGTAAACATCACATTGTGATGATCGGTAAACGTTTCGCTTACTGATCTTCGCATTGCGATGTTTTGGAACCGCTGATCAGCGGTTCCAAAATGGCCACTGGAAGAAGAAAATGGCCGCCCACAGCATTTTTGCGCCGATTCCTCGCTTACCGAGGCGGCGAAAATGGCAGCCAGATTGAGGATTCTCGCTTAGCGGTGAGTTTTGTCCCCATAGGAACGCATTAAATGGAGTTTAATGCGTTCCTATGGGTTCCCCCCCCCGCATAGCAACGTTTCCCGATAGTGATGTTTTTCTTGGAACGGATTAATGTCGCTATGTGGGGCACCACTGTATATGAAAAATAGTGCTTAAAATGCACGGATTTAAAATGTGTTCCTGCAAGTCTCCCTTTTCAGAAATGCGTACAAATTTTCATGTACTGTGGAAAAGAAATAATTCACAATCCAATACAGAAATGGGATGGAAAACTTCATACAAAGCAAAAAATTGGTTTTCAGATACTTAGGCATTCTTACCTGCCAATTACTTGCTAGATCTAAACCTGCTTAGCTAGCACAGGATTGCTGTACCATGTGACCTCAAAACATGTTCTGGTTACTAGTGACCTCTTATTATTATGCTTCAGCAGTGTAGGTAGGGTAGAAGTGCCAAGTATGCTTGTGTCAAAATAAGCCCTTCTTACTTCAGTAGATTCAAATGAGTATGATGAATGAATTGGTAAACTGCTTGTACACCTTTAATATACCCCTGCACATTACTTAGGGCGCTGCAGGATCTGAGGAGAAATGTCAAGAGTTTAATGGTTTATGACATATTTGCTTTCAGCAAAGTACAGTGCAGCCTTAAGTTGTTCTGACTTCTCAGTGCTACAGCTAATATGTGGCAATTTAGTAAAACAAATTGTGAAAGGGAATCAGACAAGTAAGATTATAATGAGTCCATAGATGACCCTTTCAGGAAAAACACATTACATGCTTAAACACTTGCATTTATTTTGCTTCCAGGAGATCTGGCTGTGAGCTTTAAAGCATTGGCTTCTCCAGTGTTGAGCATGTCAGAATAAAGGTTTTAAGACTGCTGCAGACCGTCTTCTGCTTAGCTTTAATAATTAAAACTGAGTTTCCTTGCATCTGACGAATAGTCTTTGGTCATTTAAAGCCATTTTCATTTCATACCTTTATAATCATGCTTCTAAATCCCTGCTTTGCCAACTTCTCAGGTTCTCAAGCCCCAAAACCTTGGTAGTTTTCAAACCATCTGTTCTACATATGTACCAAGTCCAGTATGTACACAGCCCACCTTCTCCACCCTTAGTTTCAGTGGACAGAAGTGAACTTTGGAAGAAGAGAATGCTCTCTCTCTCTCTCTCTCTCTTTCTTTCTTTCTTTCTCTCTCTCTCTCTCTCTCTCTCTCAAACACACACACACACACACACACACACACACACACACACACACACAGAGGGAGAAAGGAGGGTATGTCTCAACCACAGCATGGAAGAATTCCTTTTCTGAACTACAGTTCCCAGAACCCTCAGCTAAACATGGTCATTGAGGGATTCTGTGAATAGTAATCCATAAAACTAACATTTTCAAGCTTTGGTCTTGCCTGCAAATACTTGTTTATCTCTCTTATACCTCAGAATTCATGGAAGTCAGTGTCTGCGTGGTCTACTTTATTTTACTTTTAGAAACCTAAAACTGGTGTGCATTTAATGACTTGTTTCTGCAAATTTCTGTATTCTATGCCAGTGGTTCCCGAACTTGGGTAACCTAGGTGTTCTTGGACTGCATCTTCCAGAAACCCTGGTAGTGAAGGCTTCTGAGGATTGCAGTCCAAGAACATCTGTGTTACCGGAGACTGGAAACTACTGCTCTATGCTGTCAGTGTTGTGTGTAAGCTTCCCTTCGGTACTTCACACTATTTTGAGTGCTAATTCACACATGCAGGGTATCCAGTTACTCCATTTTGTCCTTTAGATGTTGCGGAGAAGCATCAACACAAACGGAAATATAATGGGATACAGCCAATTCTTAGGGCTGTTGGAAAAGTGCTGCCTATTTTAGCATGCAGGCTGGTTCATCTTGATCTATTTTCCACATGATCTCACATTAAAAGACAATAATGTAAAAGAGACAATCATGTTGCTGATTTGTGTTTGTGAACTGGCCCTTCAGGTGTCTCTCCTTGAACAACGGCTTGTTAACAAATGTTGATCTTCCCATGTACGTAGCCACAGGAGACTGTTGGCATGCTACAGGCATGTGCTCAGTTCAAATGGGATGACACAGAGGCCCCAAAGGCCAGGACAGCATCCTGGGGAACCAAGTGTGAACCTTAAATTATGTCCCAGGATTTTTTGTGCTGCATATTAATTTTGTGGCAGAACTTTCAGATTCCTTGGCGGATATAAAAATTGTTTCTTCAAAACAGAAAACCACTAATTTAAAGGAATTAGTTGTCAAAATGCTTGCCTTTTAAAAATTATGTAAGATATTTTTTCTCTTTTACTGCTGCAGGTCCTAACCCAGAGTTAATCCTGTGACACTGACCATGGAAAGAATTAAGTGTTCATGGTTGTTGTGGGTTTTTCGGGCTTCTTGGCCATGTTCTGAAAGTGGTTCTTCCTAACGTTTCGCCAGTCTCTGTGGCCGGCATCTTCAGAGGACAGGCCACAGAGACTGGCGAAACGTTAGGAAGAACCACTTTCAGAACACGGCCAAGAAGCCCGAAAAACCCACAACGATCATTAGATCCCGGCCGTGAAAGCCTTCGCGAATACAATTAAGTGTTCAGTTAGACATTTCTTTACTTAAGGCATTATATCACACTGACCAAACCTTATTTTGTTTTCAACTATCAGATTTTCTCTGAAATGTTCACATTATTACTGTAATATAGAATTGATAAGAATCAAAATGGATGTGGAATTATACTTTTCCAATGGAAAATGTTTACTGGGTTGATTTCCTGTGGAGCTTAGAGGATGTCTGCTTACTAGGCAGTTACTGCCACCTAGTGACTTTTAAGTTAGTTTTTCAATAATTATTTGAAAACTCTGTTACGAGGGAAAAGAAAAGTGTCCTTAAAAGGTACACAAGTTTAAGGGAACTTGCATCAGATAAGATAAGGAGAGGGAGATCCTAAAAACTGGGTAGGGGCAAAATCTGTGAGCAAAGTTCTTCTACCAGAAGAAGACAGATACTGGATCTAGTTTGTTTATGTATGACATGCTCTGTGTTTGCATCAACATTAGACCTGATATTTTACAGAAATATGTGCTGAACAGTATTTTAATTCTGTTGTAATCCCAGAAAGGATATTTCGCATTACATTATGTAACTAGAAGAAGTAATGATTCTACACCAGTTCTGAAATATATATATATTTTTCTCCTGATAGTGCAGTTGACGGTTTCTTGGAGAGTAAAGATTTGATTGAGGAACTGCTACAAGGAACACCCATGAATTTATCTTTTCAAGGAACAGATCACTTTAGAAATCAAGTTGGATTTGTGAAATTGGCCAAGAGTAATCATGCAACCACACTTTTAAAGATAGCAGGTAATACTTTTCAATAGTTTCCAGTATTGTTGCAAGATGCTTGAAAACAGGTTGAACACCCTGCTAGTATAGCTTGATCCCGCTATTTATTTGTTTACATTGAAACAGTTAACTTTTTTAAAGCAAAAGCAAAGCGTGCGGCTTATATACCGCCCCCATAGTGCTTCAAGCACTCTCTGGGCGGTTTCCAAGTTAATTATGCAGGCTACACATTGCCTCCCCAGCAAGCTGGGTACTCATTTTATCGACCTCGGAGGGATAGAAGGCTGAGTGAACCCTGAGCCAGCTACCTAGGATTGAACCCCAAGTTGTGAGCACAGTTTTGGCTGCAATACAGCGGTTTAACCAAGGTTTTTGTCTTCATATTGTTGGATTCACAGCAGTATTGAACAGCCTGTAGGACATATTTATTCCAAGTAAATCTTGCTGCATTTGTTGGAGTGTTGAGAGATACTTAAAAATGTCAATTTGAGGACAAGCCAATCCTTTGTTCAGGCTACCCTGGGCACCATGTAGCCTGGGATGGATCGTCTTGCCCACCAGTGACTGCTGCCAAATCAATGTTTATGCACGCTCAATCTGTGATCCTCCATTCCCAGCCGTGCAAAGGAAAGCAAAACAGTAGTGCTAGGAATAAAAGAGACAACAGCTATGCCACCACTCTGTTAGCTTCCCATGCTGTCAGGGAATCGCATGTCTAATGGTTTCTCTAGCTTGGTTCAGACATCAAAGGAACCCATGGTTTCGTAGTAAAACAACAAGCTGCAGTGTGACTCAGGATTGCACACCTTCCTCCCTTTTCCTCTCTGTTATATCCACCAGGAGACACTTCAGATTTTAAACTAACTAAAACTCCCTGTCCACACAGGAGAAACTGGCTTGTTTAATTCTGTTTTGAGAGTTGATTAGGAACTGAAAGCATAGTTTGATGCTAGCTTGTTCTTAGAAATTACAATGTAAGTGACCACAGTTCTCCATGTTCAGTGTTCACAAAGAACTATGAATTATTTAAATATGGAAATATAAGGTGTATATTTCCTTCTTGCTTTGCAGAAGGGGAGGGTGGGGTACACAAATTGGACATTTGCTGCAGCTGCTTTTTGTAGAAGGAGTCTGTTTCTACTGCATCTGAACTGAGCCCCAGAGTGAGCATGGAAAGAAGGTGCTGATACATGAGCAGTGGTGGCTTGGATGCCATGATAATGTCACAAACACATCGCTCTACATCCAGTGCATAAGTATGCTTCTTGGAGCAGCTCAGTGTCTACTTTGTCAGAGGCATCCCTTATATGAAAGAGCAGCAAGTGGCAGAAGCAGGCATAAGTTTCATTGCAGAAGCTTGAATGCACTGATAGCCCTGTGTGGACATCAGCAACCAGTTACCAAGTTTTTCTTCTTACTAGGAAAAAAAGCCACATAGTTTTAGAGCTGAAGATTCCACAGAGACTGGTTGAAATCTACTGGGCCAACAGGTTCTTCATATGGACCATGTTTATCACAAAGCCAAATCTGTTTATTTCTTGTTTTATTTCATCCTTTTCCTGTTATCTGTGATTATTAGCACATCCTGTTTTGGTATGTCATCATTTTCCTGCTGGACCCTTGCATAAAAGCTTTCAGTTTCTTCTTGTTCAGCATCTGTAATTGGGGCATAGACCTGGATGGTAGTACAGTTGAAATCTCTTTGATACCATTTGTTCAGACTATGCATCAAGCTTGTGCTATGGCTCACATCATTGTTAGAGCCATGCCATTTCTTCCAACTTTTATATTTCTGAGTGGAATGCTTTGTAATTATTTGAATGAATATATCCTATTTCAGCCCATTTCAGTTCACTCAGATCAAGTATTACTATGCTGTCATATTCCCTGGTGCACTCAAACACTCTCACACACAGTACAGTATATGCTGGAAAAGAAACTATGAACACATTTTGAAAGTGAGTTCAGATAAAAAGTAACTGGTTTAAAGCCCTTTTATAGCACAGTCTAATTTCCTGTTGTACTTGTTGGGAGGCAACCACTTTCAACCACATCCCCTGTGAGATGAATAGTGTCTGGATTGGCAAAACCAATCTAAAATGCATCATGATCAGGGCCTTAAATACTTCAGGTGGTACTTTCTTACGGATTACTGTTCTCTAGGGGACAGGAATGTTGCTCCAGTTCCTGTTTTCTAGATAAATCAGCTTGTCACCTATCAAAAGCAGGTCCTTTTCTATGACTGTGCTGGAGATCCTGAGGAGAGACTGTACATATCCATCTTTAACATCCTCCCAGAGGCTTAAAGCAGCAGTGGGCAACATGCAACATTCCTTATGTTATTGAACTGTGTCTCCATTTGTCCCTCACCATTGGCTATGCTGGCTGGAGCGGAGGGAAATTGCAGTCAAATGTTATCTGGAAGCCTTATCAGATATAAAGATTGTCTTCACTGGGCCAACACCCTTGATCTTGTTGAGTAAGGCTCGCCGTATGTCCTTAACATGGGAGTAGTAGGAAACAAGACATGAGAAAATGAACATCAGATAATCTGATAATTAAAATTCTTGAAAACAAATTAACAAAAAGATCTCAGTATGGAAGAAATGCCTGGAGTTTGTCATTGTCTCTTTAGACTGTCCCTAAAATTCCAACTATTTCTTGGAAAGGTTTCCTTGAAGACATTATTAGAAGCAGTGAATGTGCCTTTTGTGTTTGAAGGAATGTGAAGTCACACCATGCCTAAATATTTTGTGACTCATACTAGGGCATTTTACAGAATTACAAGGGACACTGCCATCTTCTTGTCTTTGCTTAAAATGCCATGCACAGTTCTGTTTACCTTCTCCCTTTCCCACCTATTAAGGTAAAAGCTCAGGCACAGGGGATAGTGGCACTTTTAAATAAGTGGCAGGATGCAGGAAGTAAACAAGTTGTCACATGGCTCTCACTATGATACATTATTTTCGTAGGACATCCTAGATGATAATTATAATTGTGTGCCATCAAGTAAATTCTGATTGATGCACTCGTTTGCACCATGATTTGTAAATCAAAGTACTGTACAATCTCTGTCCCTGTCCAGAATGAAATTGTTCCTTGCTTCACCTTCCAGAAGTAAAGATCCTTTAACAGCTGCACGTATTGTTCAAACCATGTTTAAAGCAAACTGTAATTTCTTCTTAAACTAGACTTTGAAACCGCTGTTTGATGTAGGTTTGTAGGCCGTGGTGAAAAGGGAAGAGAATAGGTAATGCACTGCAGAGAGAAAAATGGATTATTGGGGACAGGACAGTACGTTTCCAAGCCTTTATGCTAATCTGCAAGCTAGGGATCAAGGAGAGCCAATGTTGCACCTACATTTCAGCAATTTCTTTGGATCACTCCTCTGGAGCAAAAACAGTGTGAGTTCAGTACTGCCTTAATTTTCTAGGTTAGTTGTTCTACCTAAAACAAATTTCCTAAAATTTAGGTCTCTTTACTAATAGAGCCTAAAAGAGAACTGTCCCACACATTCAAAACAGGAAAAAGATTTAAAAAGAAGTGCATACAAGACAAGTTTGATTTTCCCAGTGTGTTTTCCCTGTGCATTTTAAACCAAAGGAAGAACAACTGCGTTCAAAATCTGTCATTGAATTTGTGGGTAATTATAGTCTACTAAGAAATCTGTAGCAAAGATCTTAATAGCTGCCAAATTATTATTTATTGTAAAAATTTGCTTCCTTTATCCTCTCGACATAAATATGTAAGAACATAAAAAGAACTTTGCTGGACTAGACCAATGGTCAGTTTCATGTAGGGATAAGTAACATATGACTCCTGTGCACAATTTTGAGCCCCTTCTGTCCTCTTCTACTGTTGCCACCAAAAATCTATGGTGTATTTATGGAGTCTGGCAGCTATTTAAAACAAAACATGGATATGCTGCTTGTTTTGAAATGAACCATGCTCTAGGTGAGATTTAATATCAAAGCAAAGTACTGTATATGCTCTTCACATGCCTTGTTCTGGAGGGAAACTGTATGTAAGGGAAGCAGTTCACTGATGTCATGGCAACAGTGGTGTGTGGGCCTCAGTGGGTTGAGGAACAGCCAGTGCACTCCCCTAGTACGTCTCTTCTCCAACATTCTGCTTCCCACAGTGGTTAAGCAAACTCTCCTACAAGCACACAAGCAAGCTATAGAGGCATTGTTGCTTCCCAGTAGCTGACACTTGGAAGCATAGTATGGTATTCTTTTGATCCTTTTTAGTATTTGTATATTCACTGCTGTTGATTTTAAATACTGTCTTTTAATAATGTAAGCCACCTTGCATGCTTTTTAAGGAGAAAGGCGGTGTAAAAATTTTTTAAATAAATACTGTAGAAACTTCAAGACTACTAATTCTTGATGGATATTTCATGAAAACAATCTTATCCACTTTTAAAGCCATGTAAGGCTGGAGGTGGCCTTCACATTTTATAGCGAAGTAAATATACAACACACCCAAATTCTGAATGGGACAACAATTTGCCAACTTCTAATGTCTCGCTGAGCTATTTCATTATGTAGACAAAGGCCTGCAGGCTGCATTGGAATTTGTGACTAAGTAAAGCAAATACTTGACCTTAACATTGTACAAAATGACTTTACTTTAAAACAAAGGCAAAATTCTTCGAGAAATAGCTATGTTTAATATAATCCCTCACACAGTTTGCTTTATGCTTGATAATTGACAGAGCTGTACGTAAAAAGAGGGAATTTTATTTTTTATAATGTCATTTTTCATTACTCAGTGATACTATAATCAACCCTCACAGATTTTCTGTAAGTCTTCTAACATGCCATGAGATCTACTGTTTTGTTGCTTTCCACCAGTGTTTTAACTTGCCTAATGTCTAATGATGTATTGTCAGTGACTGGCAATGGCTCTCCAGGGTTTCAGATTTCTGATTTTCAAAAGTGTTGTTAATTTCTTTCATGCACTTGAACCATGTCTTCATTTTTTGTCCATTAAACTAATTGGCTTATCTTAGACTT